CTGTTTGCTTGGGAAAGTATTTTATTAATTAAGTATTTAGTATTATTTATCACCGATATGTTAGTAGCTGAATGGGATCGTTTTAATACTTCGCGATTCATCCTTTGTACTCCACGGATGACCAGTTGTGGTTGGGAAGGGGGTTTTCAATACGAGCACTAACCTTCAGTTGTAGGAGATAGTTAGGGTTCTGTGTCAGCCACCTTCTGTCAAACTTACAAACACAGTGGACTGCAACTGTCTTTGGTGGCGCTACTTATGTTCGATGGTAATAGCCACTGGCAAGCTCGACCAACGTCGCTCGAACAATAGTAGGTTTGGACCACCAGGTCGACCAGTTGGTATCAGACCCAAACGCATGGTCACACCGCTGGTTACCAATATCCAGATTCGTTTACCAGTACAGAGGGAACCATTCACGTGATGATGATTTTACTAGATTTTATTGGCCATGAATGGTGACACAGCTGCAGCCAACAGCAAAACGAGAGTGACGATGAGATTTTACAAAATATTAGTTGATGAAATATACTGTTTCCCAAGTTAATAAAAATAAAGAAAAAGATACATACACCATTTGTAAAGAAAAGCCGTTTCCCCGAATGGTATCTTGTTTGAAAATAAAGAAACATTTGCACATGTACTTTTGTTAAAGGCACTACGTACATTTTGTATGCACAACTTTAACAAAGCGTGTTGTGTCCAATAGTTCCTGGGGAGAAATCAATTTAAACAATTAGGGAATTGTATTGTGAATGTAACGATAAAAGCTTCAAAGAATAATACCCTAAGGGCAAAAAGCCTGGGTTTTTTTTATAAACGTATTATGTCAGGTAGTCTCTTGTAAGAAATAAATTATAGATAACTCACTACAGAGTATTGTATTATAAATTTAACAAAAGAGCTTCAGTGAACAATGATTTTTAAAAGGCAGTATAAAGGTTACGTCAAACAATCCCTGGTGAGAAATTAATCCTTCTTCCCATAAAGCTATTTCGTTGTGAATTTTATGCAAAAGTCTCGATAAACACAGGGTCCTGTTTATAAACACCTTTCAAATAAATGAGTGGTGCTGATCGTTCATGCTGAACAATCGACTGTAACACAGAGAAATGCATCGTTTCTATGAAAGGTCTATTTCATACAAAATGTTTCATGTCTTAAATTTGCGTGCTACGTTCTTGAGAAAATGCTTGCACCTACGATAGTAACAAAACATTCAAGAACACACCAAGGAATCGTCACGTGGCGGATACTAGTTTATGTCAATGTACGTGTACTTAAATTTTTAGCGATCACTCTTTCATTTGGCAATGCTTCAACATTGTTACGTCCACGGAATAACAAATTCTCGTCTGTGTGTTGTACTATTTTATGCGCTCTATCTTCGCTGGTCTATTATATCAATTTCAAGTTATCTGAATGTGTGCAAGGTTACAACACGTTATTTTGTGTGGCTCACTCATCAGGTTCCATACACAATAAAATTATCATAGTCTAATTTTTTTCTATATGAGTAAATTGGTCATTTTAGTGCAATATATTCACGAGTAGAAAGATTCAAATGTGTTTTACTTTGACAATCACCCAAACGGACTTCGTTCCAATTAAGGTTGAGTACATGTACGAGTTTGGAATGAAATAAGCCACTGTGAATCAAACTTAGTTTTTGTCGGTGAGTTGCGCTAGTCAGCAATGGCGGTATTACTTGGTTTTAAGCGATCTTAGAGCCGCAGTACCGATGTTTGTCTGTGAAAGGCTCATGTTGGAGCATTACTGTCCCATTTCTTAGCCCCTGCGGGTGGGTGGTTTGACAACGTGTCCACTTCGAGATGAAGAAGGGCTTTGTGGGGTTGACGTCTGGATTTGCTGGTTGCGGCCTTGGATCAGGCTTGTAGGTCTGCCGACGAGCGGTTTGGGCCGATTGTCTGGCTCTGGGTCTTGGATGAGTGTTGGTGGGGTTGCTTGTTGGCCAGGCTGGTGGAGAGGTGAAAGTGTGGTCTATTGCCTCGGTATTTGCGTCCACCGCACTCAGCTATGAAGATCGAATTCTCGCTTTGTGTCTGGAACCCGCTGCTTGGAAATTGTGTCATCCTGACTGGGTCTCAGTGGTGGTAACTCCGGTCAGTCGTGTGCTTTTTGATGAAGTGCACGCTGTTCAATAGCCAAGAATTGTAAGATGTCTGTCCACAAGTGCTTCACTGTCTGGACAGCACGCTCACCTTCCACATTGAATTGATCAGTAGTCTTTGCAGATGAAGTCGAATTCGATAGATGAGTATTTTGCATTATCATCAGAACGCAGCCTCTTGGGGCTGCCATGACGGCCAATGAACTGTGACTTCGGGGGACTGCGCTGGCTAAATCAGTAAGCTCGTCGACTCCGATGAACTTGGAGAAGTAGTCGACGGTCAGGAGGGACGGCTGGCCTTCGTACGGGAAAAGATCTGATCCCAGCTTGATCTAAGGAAGATTGGGCGCCTCTGTGGGTTTGAGTGTCTCGGCAGGCCCTGAAACCTTCGACCAGTTCCTCTATATCTTTCGGGCTCTCCTAAGATGTCTTGTAGTTTTAATCAATTTGGGTGGCTATGACAAGTGTCAGCTCGTTTCCTTTCTCCGTACATTTCCTTTGAACTGCACGATTGACTGCACAGAAGACTATGCCATCTCAAATCACCCGTTCTTAATTGTCAGAGCCTCAGCCTTTGACTATCACTCGCAGGAATAGTGATGAAGCTGTCACATTTTTCCCTTTCACGTTGCTTTCACCTATTGAAGTTGGTGGTGGATGTAGTCTGTAGATGTAGGTTGTATACATCTTCGTCACGTGGTACAGCACCGATAATTGCCACGCACTTGTCTTGGATGTGATCAGGTATATCAAGGTAGGAATCGGGTGCATTCATCAAGCATAGGGGAGCATACTCCATCACCTCATACCACCACCATCAAATCGAGAAGTGCAGGGGACTCCAGCTTTGTTTGGAAAGCGCTGTTCAAATCCGACGCCAAAAAGCGCGGGGCAAGTATGTCACCCGAGCGATGGATTGTTTGAACCATCTAGACGGCTATCTGGTACCAAGCCCTGGGGCATGGTCGCACTGCTGGTTATCAATCGCCAGTTTCATTTCATCAGTACATTCTCATAAAAATAATTGTACTAAATGTCACTGACCATGAACGCCGCAAGAGTTACAGCCAACGGTAAAATGTGAGTGACGATGCGATATTACAGTCTTTGAATAACGAAGCTGTTCTCTTCAGTAAAACCAATAGGGGGGCCCCTACCAGTTTGAAATACTGCGATTTAATCATTTTAATTGCTCATTTCCACATCTATTAAATCAAAGATGACTGAGAAATATCTGGCCTTCTTACTTTTGAAAAAGACATCAAGAAGTATTATAATATGGGGATATATTTGTCTGTTGTTAACGGCGTTATTCAGCAGTTGCATGCAAAATGAGAACACCACGCCTACCCTTTACTTTGCCAAGAGTAGTCTGGTCCTTCCTTATGTCGATGGTCACAAAAACAAATTTGATATTGACAGTATGTAAATTTAACATTAATTACTGTTTTCTGCAGTCTTTGTCGCAGATTTTTAATGAATTAATTTGATAAAAGAGTAGTAATGTTATTCCCAGGTTCAACAGAAATTTGTTCAACTAGGGTTGTTCGCACGGGTGTCGCTGGTTAGTTTGTCAGCAAATTTCATGTGGCACCCCCCCCATTCAATATGGTCTAGCGACGCCCGTGGTCGTTCGAGGCTGACTGCACTGCGCATAGTCTGTCTTGGCCAGTGTTTTAATTGCGACCGAGCTCATTCAGTTCCCCCTTCCAGAAACGAGCCCCCTCCCAGTCCTGCAAAATCACCATGGGAGCGTTCGATTAGCTTCCCTGAATACGCAAGGGAAGCCTCGAAATGAGGGTAATCGAACGCTGCAGTGAACTCGCAAAGGCATTCTGGAAAAAAGGTCAAGTCCCCGCCACGATCTATCATGTACGTCCATGCACGAACAGTCCATCCGTGACGTCATTACACTCGGGCAGCCTCCAGAGACCCGCTCGCCAGCCGGGGTAGTAGTGGCTGACACCAGGGCGGGCACGAGGATCACGTGATGGCTAAACGAACGCTCTCGTGTAAGTTTGACTTACGCGTGTAAGCTAATCGAACGCACCCCATGATCGATGATCCCACACGGTTTCCTCGGAGTTTCGTAGCTGAGCGCGCGCAAAATAGTCAAAAGAACATCGAGCCAAAAGCCACCACCCCCTCGTCACGCATGTGTGTGGCTAGCATATCGGCACGCCATGTGCTGTCAACTCGTGTACACATTTCAATGTACAAATACAATTTAGTCATCACGCAAGGGGTCACCACTGGAACCCTGTCAACGTGACTGACACAAACATGGACAAAGAGGTGGATAATTGAGTCACTTTCATCTTTGTTGTCTGCCTGCAAAAGCCCTCGAATTTTTTTGTTGTTTACAAAAACGGAAGTGCCACGACGTGTAAACGATGCCTCAACTCGTCTCGCTTTAGCACAGCGCTTTTGCGCATTTTCTCCTCCAGACATGGAAAATGAAAACCTGATGAATGCTCATCAAAAAACCTAGCCGTAAGTAACATCAACGTCAAACACACAGCATTTTACACGCAAATTTAGGTCGAATGCTGTCGAGGAGCAATGTGAATATTTAACAGTAATAGGTTCGAACTCTGTCACCGATCAGTTCCGACAAATCCTTGAGGGCGAGTCACCGAGAATTATCTTTGAAAATTAAAACCAAAAATCATAGGGAATGCCCATAGGGAAATGCATGCAATCGCAAAATCGCAATACAATTATGGAATCGACAGAAAAATAAATTCGAAAACGGTGTATACTCAAGCCCCAATGATTTGTTCACCAAAAATTTAAAACTAAATCTACCATGGAGGTGGATTTGCAGACACATTCTTAAAAATAAAAGTTATTCGGATGAGTCACATTCTGACTCTTACAATACTGGTAACATTTATTTGAATTGTGCAATTTCACAAAATACGTCAGAGCATCAACTTTTGCAAAGCATAATCACCGTGCATAACAATTTAATCTACGAGAAGTGGAAAGTATACATAAACGTCAGTGTCTCAATCCCTAAAATTTACTCAAAGGCACGTGCGTATGTTTTACCACTTAATTAATTGGTTAATATATTTCGTCCAACACACTCTGCATACAGAAAAAAAATTAATAATACAATCAATAAGTTAATGGGCACAATGTACCTTTTAGAGAGGCGAAGTTCAAAAAGGCACTACGCACTTCCAACAGTCCCTGGTGAGATATTGCGATATTAATTATTATTACCTGTAAAGGTATTTCATTGTGATTGTAACAAAGGGAGCTGCAAAGAGTAATATTCCTCTAAGTGCAAAAACAACGAGCTTAATCATATTGTGTCAAGCAGCCCCTTGTGAGAAATTAATTGTAATTAACTCCGAATTTAACAAAGAGATTACCATTGAGAGATATTCAAAAGGCACTATATAAGTTAATAAGGCACTATATAAGTTCATAAATGTATTGTGTCAAAGAACTGTTGGTGAGCAGTTTATTCTCATTAGCCGTAATGCTATGTTATTACGAGCTTTGCAAGAGAGCTTCAATGAACAATATTTCGAAGGCGCATTTAGTTAACACCTTTCCAATATATCCGTGTTGCATCATTCCCTGGTGAAAACCGATTACAAATAGAGAGGAATACATGATTTTCATGAAAGTCAGGATACAAAAAGTTTTGTTACAATTGTGACGCATTTGATAAAAATGTATCTTGAGAAAGACGCTTTCAATATACTTGGCAGTATATTAAACCCTAACACTCGGTTATGTCAATGTACTTAAATTTTCAACACTCACATTTCATTCCACAATGCTACCGCAATATTACGCTCACAGGATAACCCATTTTAGCATGTACAGTCCTTTGTCTATGGTCTACGAAACAAATTTCAAGCTATCTGGAATATGTGTAAAATTTATGTTGCCTACATCAATTTGTGAGGCATGAACTACAAGAAGTCAAAATTCGCTTTCTGTACGATTAAATTGGCTGTTTGTTAACAATATATTTCTGAGTAAAGTTAAAATGGACATTATAATTTGACAATCGCAAAAAAAAGAATTAAGTAAAGAAATTAAAGAATTTAATTAAACAACTGTAACTTACAAAATCTCTGTTGACAAGCTCAAATGTTTTTTTCAGATAAATGAGTTATATGAAACAATGGAAAACAGCGCAGAACATAATACAGTGTACTACATAATAGTAAGAATGTATTTTTAAGGTTTTTTTTCTTGTTTAGGGCACTTCGGTTTTTATGTAATGATTTGTTTCAGACCTTGGGATCGAGGAAAGGGTACATGTAACACTTTGGCACTCTACGAAACGCAAGGAAGAATCAGACCACATCTTCAAAATCATTGTATCATTGACTCAACGTGACTGGTATTCAGGCTTTATACTGAAGTTGAATAAAGGTAAATTACCAATACTTAAATAGTTTTTCAACCATTTGGTTTTTAGGGAGGAAGTGAAATATTTGTAACCAAATCGTCGTGTATTGAAGTGTAACAACATCATGGGATATTTTAAGAAAGAGAGGGGGGCTTGAGGGTTGCCTAGTGCGGATGATATGAATGCACCTGAAATTCATTCGTTTTATTAATTCTATGCATGTACTTTGTAAACCCGCTGGTAAGCCAGTGCACGTAATCACAGTCGATCTCAGTTACGCAAATAAGCTCGAATGATTTGGTATCTGTTTGTCTCCTGCTGTATCCTCGGTGGGTAAATGACAGAGAAAATGGAGGACTTGACTCCGGAAATGTCGACCTAAACTAGGATGTTCTCGATGACGCAACAAATTAAATTAACCAACTTCCAGGGAAATATCGACCAACTACTATTAGGTTAAGCTAGGAGGAATAAATTTGCCAATTCTTTGTGGTAGTTTTTCAGATCAAGCGGTTGTTGCATTTCCCCAGATTCACGGGGCAGAGTGGATAAGTCATGCAAACACCAATGGCCAATTTGTGTCAAGTAAATAAAGACAGTTTTTGAAGTGAGGAACGTTTGCCTGGCCTATTCCCTCGACTTTCTTAGAGTGTGCTACATTCAGTTACAATTAGAATGTGCCGTTTACGGACGTTGTGAGCCTACCTCGTAACTTTCGCGGATTTTCATGGTGCATTTTTTCAGCGAATATGCAATGCGATAGGGCCAAAAATACCAATGGACGCCTTTGTAAATTTCACTGGGCTGATCAGGGTATTGCATGTATGGGCCATTTAAATTGCATATCCCACAGCCTGCGAACCACCAACCGCCTTGGTATATCTGCGCACACTGAGCCCCAAATTCGTCGTTGTCTTGATCGCGTGTCGTGAATGCCCTCATGTTGTGAAACCGAAGCGAGTTATCCATTGTGGTGCTTCTGTGATCATATCTATCAGCGTATATTGTGTACTTCTCCAATTCGTCAGATATCCGGAAATCTTTGTAGATCGACCGGGCTGTTTTATTGTCCCAGTCCCACAGATCTATGCGCAGCTCCCACGCTCCTTGTGAATCGTTGCTGGTCAGACTCGCTAACATTTCGTTGCCCAGCCAGAACTCACCGGAGAGATTACCGAAGCCATTTCGGTACTCGTTCCAATACCGGTCGAAGCTCACGCTGCCATCTTGTCGCCTCTGAAAGACAATCCATCCCCCACCATCAGTTTCCATGTCACAGTAGACCTCCTTACAGTCGTTGGATCCTCTTGGGCAAATCGAATACACCGCACTTGTATTACAGCCGGCATTCAGCAGCTCCTTACAGCTTCCTGCCCTCGGAGGCCCCTTGCAGCTTTCTCGCCTGCTGGCCAAGAGAGGAGTGCGATCATTTGCATCGAAGTACACACTTCCAGTGTCCCTCAAGAAGTCTCCAGGGTGATCGTCCCACGTAGCCCCGTTCAGGTCGCAAATCTTCGCATTTTCGTAGAAGTTAAAGGACTTACAGTTCTTTTTCATCATACAGTCTCGTCCGCAGACGACCCGGGAAAGTGCGGGTTTCGTCTCAATTTTGTGATTCTTCAACACTCTTTCCGAGGCACCAAACATTTTCTTTTCCCGAAGTAGCTGTAAGTGCACAAGCCTGAAGTCGAAAATTTGTGACAGAAACACAATCGCGACCCCGCAACAAAAAACCTTTGTCAGCGACAGCGATTTCTGAGCCATCGTGACGAACCGTGATAAAATTCTGAACGGATTGGCAGACTCGACTTTGCTCAATTGGCAACAAGTCAGCTCAACCTTTTATAGGTGAATGGCTAGCCTCAGGTACCACTGCCAATTCAAGACGAGATCTGTGTAAATAAAGGGCTTCATGAACGGTGGAAGAGCGTTCAATTCACGCGCTGAGCGTCCGCTCTTCTCTCATGGGCGGTCCTCGTCAGGAGGACGGATGAAGGATGTTTTCTGATTGCTATGGTAACTGGGGGCGGTTCTTGAATGTCACCAGTCACAGGTCAGGTCACGTGTAAGTGACGTACTGGTTGATGCCTCATCCGTGAAACCCAGCATCTCTGACATCACTGGATGTTCAAGCGAAATAAATATAGCTTTCAATCAAGTAGAGTTTGACTGGTCACATTGCGGTGAATTGTGTTTCAGTATCTTTGGCAATCGTCATCTTACATCATTTAAGCAAAAACGTTTTAAAGAAACATATTTTGAGTAATTTCTACTCCTAGATCCTCTGAATACCAGTAGACGCGTGCATGTTTGGTAAAGTTTATTGAAAGGATCAGTCAGTCTTGAGTGTTTGCCTGTTTAAATGTTGCGGCGTGTAGGCCTACCCGAGTTTTACGCGCTTTGTGGAAGACAGGAAATACCGTTAAACCAAGGACGACTTGCTACCTCTTCGTGTTGAAAGAAAAAGCCGAGTAAATGGCGCCCTCCCGTATCCCCAGTGTAGGTAGAAAATAATTTAGATTACCTTTAAATAAATAAGATGATTAAAAAGAATAAACAAATGTTTACATTGATAAAAAAAAAGTGACGAATTTGCTTTTTCAGCAACATCCCAACGTGCCACAGACAAAAAATATCTCAATATAGAACGAGTCAGAATTTTAACAAAGTTTATTCCGATGGCGCTCCTGGAACCTAGGAAAATAATCGTTTAAACAAATTAGACTTTGAAATTATTTTTCTGCATTTTTTTAAAAATCAGATTCGAAAAGGCCTTTGTGAAATCTTTTAACTATATCAATCTGTCGAAAATGAAAACTTATCCGACCTGCAAGAAATTATCATGCCAAAATTTGTCCTCTTACTTTCGGAAATTTAACATGCACCGGCCAGTGCAACTCAGTCACAAAATTATTTAAGGATGGGCTAAACCGATATTCGAATTATAAAAACAGGGGACCAAAATAAGGTCAGCAATTTATAATTTAAAAATAAAAGTAACTTTCAAGGAATAATCTGCATTTACAAAAAGTTCTAAAGTCTAACCAAATCTTTGCTGACAAGAAATAATGTATCAAGCCAACCCCACTGTCGGGGGGATTGAAAATATTCAGTTCCGGATTTATCGCTGGGGGCGTGCTAGGAAAACTGCGACCTCTCTTGGTCTAGCTTGGGGCTCATTACACTAACGTGTGTGATCTGAAACTATGATTACATCACGCATTGGCGGCGTTCTAATGAAGAAGTAATCACGTGATGAATGTGTCAAGATGAAATTTGAGATTCACTCGTGTTTTGTGATGTCGTCTTCGTCATTACCAAGGTTACAGACACAAAACTGTGTCTTTTGCTAATTTACGCTAATCTCGGAAGATAATGGGCGACAAATAGTTAAACGTTCAAGCGAACGAACACGTAATGAATATCACCAATTTGCCCGAAAAAGAAAACTGGAAATTGATCCCCTTGTACTGTTGATCGTTTATCACTTTGTAGCTGATGATAACTCCCCCCTAAAAATTTCCCTCTCCTGGAAAAAGTGTTTCCCCTCCCCCCAAGTAAAATCCCAACGACACCCATGCAATGTGCTATAGATGTATTTAGATATGTACCCTTGGTTGAGATCACTGTGCTGTTTGACGAAGATTTCCAAACGAAGGCTACGTTACGTGTGATCAAGTACCGTATCCGTATCCATATAATGGTGTCTGGCTAGCGCCCCCCGACAGAGATATTGACAAATGGGAAGAACCACCAACATAGGGCTGGGTAGCTCAGTTGGTAGAGCACTGGTACGTTATTCCAGAGGCCACAGGTTCAAATCCCGCTCCAGTCAAGCTCTTTGTTCATCTTTATAATTATTCATAAACACCTAGTCAGTTTCCCTATATAATTTGTTTCATGACATTAGTTATATAATTAACTTCTGAGCTTATCGCATCAGATGCGATTGTATTTGGGGAGAAATGTACAGGTAAACGTGATTTGAAAGATCAACCAACTTCGAACCCTATTATCTCAAAAACTTGCATGTCAGTAGAATGAAACCAGAAGTTACCTTTTTGCTATTGATTTTCAACGGCTAGAATAAAAGACCTTCAATTTCCTCAGAAATTCCCGCTCATATGTTCGTGGAAGTTCTTACCCTGTCCAGTGAGTACTTATAATTAACTAACTTCCTCCATGCTCTGGTCAGCCAGTGCTCAACAATTTAACGTCACTTTCCCAGTTGGTCTTTTTGTATTATAGAGATCCGTCATTTTGACCGGGCATATCAAGTGTAACCCAATAGGGTAAGCAGGCGTGATGTTTCTGGCGCCCTCTCGCGGCTGCCAGAGGGACTCCGTACTGGCACTTCCCGCGTGATGGACCCACTTTACTTTCCTGAGTGGAATTCTATACCCAGCGAGTGCCCAAGGGGTGCATGTAGTTCACTGTTTTAAGTGTTGATATTTGCACGAGCTCATCTGCATGAACAGAATCCCCAGGCTTTTCTGGAAAAAAGAGGAGATTGTTAGCCTAAAAAAATGGTGGGTGTCATCCCAAGTTTTCTCCCATTCCCCTGGACATATCATTCGTAACCTATTTACAGAATTTATTCATAATATTATGAAATGCAAACTATTTACAGTTGTTTTCTTCTGGTAGCTGTCTTGCCTGGGACGTGATCAAACTTAACTGAGATATACAATACAATAATTTAACAATCAAGAGAAAAGATGAATATTCAAAAGCATTTCACTGATTATGGAGTGATGGCTGGTTAGTTGGACATTTGGCTTGTCCTGGCCAAATGGGGCTCTCATGGGTTAGCCGGCAGAGTAGACCACTAGGCGAATACCGCCGGGCCTGACCCTCCGCCTCAGCTCACCGGTCTGGAGTTGACCCATGGTATTCTGACTGAGTCAGTAGAACCAGGTTATTAGGAAACCAGCTGGGTCTTGAACATTTTGAGAGTCTCAGGAAATTGATATCTGTGTCATTACGTCTGGTAGATCGATGCACATTTTTACCGACTACACCCACAACAAAACTGACGTTATCAAAAGTCCTTCAGCTCAACGAGGCTGGATAATAACTATCTAGTTTGAATGGAAAGATGCCGGCGCACTGGTGCGGAGCTCTGGAAGTGCCATCCAACTTTTGAGATCCTGACACACTTTCTGCCGGGATGACAAAACAGTAGAAAGAAAAAAAAAAGAAAAGATGTTGGCATCCTGAGATAACTCAGCACGGGATGACGACATTGTAAAAGTTGGATGACGGCATCCCAGGATAATCATTATTTCGGGATGCTGTCTTCCAGAGACATCCAGCGATGGTGATATCTACTTCACTACTTGTAACAGGGGATAAGACACCATGATGTGTTACCACCCTAATTGATATCATGTATGGCTATAGGAGTACAATGCTTTGAACACACTATGGGTTTTCAAGGTGGTTTGTCAATGGCCCATTGACAAATAATGTAATTATTCCACGTTTACAATGTCGTCATCCTGCGATAAATTATCTCAGGATGTTGTCATCCAACTTTTATGACAATGTCATTCTGTAAGAAATTATGTCAGGATGTCGTCATCCAACTTTAACAATGTCGTCATCCCATCTAAGGGTGTCGATATCTAACCATATGTCGTCATCCCCAGAAAAAAAATGTGTCAGGATCTCACTAGTCTGGTGGCACTTCCAGAGCTCTGTACTCGGGTAACGACATGATACAGGCAAGATGTTCACAGCGTTCAGCTAATTTATCTCGAGATGACGGCATCGTAAAAGTTGGATGGTGACATCCTGCAATAATTTATCATGGAAAGACGACATCGTAACAATTAGATGACGACACCCTGAAGTAATTAACATGGGATGACGACATCGCACTAGGGTAGACATCACCCTTGCTGGATATCTCTGGATGACGACATCCTGAGATAATGATTATCGTCATTATCTGAGGATCTTATCATCCAACTTTTACAATGTCATCATCCCATGATAAGTTATCCGCGGATGTCATTATTCCGATGTCGGATGGCACTTCCAAAGCTCCGTACATCTGAGAACAGAGTTGAAAGTAAGGTCGAAAAAATAGTCCTTAGCATCCTGGAAAGTAGAGGAATGTCATTCGATGCTTGTGGGATTCGGCACTATATCACTTCTTGGGAGGTTTAAATGTAAATATTTCAAAATGTAACTGGTTAACCCACCAAAAATGAAAAGAAACGGAAAGATGAAGGGCAAGATAATGATTTAATTTTTGTTTAAGAAACCAATGTGATTTGGCTTGCATATGTTTACGAACCCTGACCCTAGTGGATTTTACACCTTTTTTCAGTGGGGCTCAAATTAGTGTACCCGGCCCGGTACTGCTCCCCGAAAGGTTGCCGCGGCGGCGACGGTATACGCCTTAGTTGCCGTCACGGTGGGAGCGAAACGCTGTGAAAGCATAAACTGGCAGAGGGCGTGCTATTCAAACCAAGCCAGGGACCGGGAAGGAGGTCTTTCATATTACAGCTCCACGGAAGAATAACCATAGACATTATTCATTGATACCCATTTTTTGCAAGGTGTTTTGTGTCTGTGCGTGCAGTTTTCTACGGTAGTTGTAAAGAGACATGGTACAAATATATTGTGGGCAACAAAATCTGTTTGATCACAATTTATTTTTTGTACCATGTCCATTTTAAACCAGCGTAGTTTTGGCTTGACACCGCGCCGTACAAGTTGCGTTGCGAGTATTAACACAGAACTGAGTGAAAAGAATGTCTTTTGACATTATTCATGGGACGTTAGTCCATTCAAAATCTGCAAGCCAGCCGTTGCAGATTTTACAGGATCATGTCATCGGGGTCGACAATAACAAGGTGAGGATTGTTTTCAGGAGAGCTTGTGATGCGTGACTCGACGAATGGTTTTATTCCTCCATGTGATAAATGGACGGCAAGGCCGTGTACTTGTAGGCTGTAGGCCGTAGGCCATGGAATCAGGGTGGCTAAGAGTTCCATGCGGACGCCACTTCACATCTTGTGCACAAAACCTATATGAGACTGGTCTGAAAAAGTCTAAGTGTTTTCCAAATGAACTTGGTTTTTCCCTTCTAAATTGAACTTCTCTGGACATGTTTTTGCTTTCTGATGGCTAATACTACATCATTACATGTAGGTCACCCTACGCCGGCGTCCGGCCGTATATGGAACCCTTTCCTCGGGTGCTTGGGCATGCTGTTGGGGTTGAACGTTAGAATTATTAGGCCCACTGCAAAAGCATATACATGGGCCATAGGGCTGAGCATGCTTAACGTCCTCCACATGTAGTCACCAGGTCCCTTATGCCTTATTTCGCCACTTACTGTGAAAACCACACAGACTCAACACAGCCTAAGCTAGATGGCAAAATTCTGAAATTAAGGACCTGGTGACTAATTACCCCCCAGAACTGTGGGGTCCGACGTCCGCCCCACTCCCATGAGGAGCGGGGCAGATGTCGGACCCCACAGTTCTGGGTGTAGCGACTAATGTTGTATAAAGTCGCATACTGTATGTTAGGTTTATAAAGTTATATGTATTCATGTAGGCTAAGGTCCTAAATGCAGAGGGAAGAACCCCATCAGTGGGTGTTCCTACGTGTTTGTAGTACTAGGACCGACACCAGGCCCTCTGCTAGCCACGTTCATGTAGCTGATCTCATGGAGATTGTTGCACAACTGAAGCAGAAGGGCTACGTAGAGAAACAGCGTATACCTCCAGAACTAGGGGGTTCATCTTCCACTGCGTTCTCACATGCATGAGGTGGGAGTGTGACAGACGACAGAGCCCACAGTTCTAGTGGGTAGGCCAAGTGCAGAGTACCCTGCCACTTGAGAATGCACCATACTGCCATGACTGGCTTTGTGATTGGAATTACTGATAATAAAAAAAAAAAATCAAGTCCAATCTATGAATCTAATACAATTTACATGTATGTAGGCATATTTTGTTAAGGGGGGGGTGATTTCTGAGAATACGGTAACACCAAGTACCGTACTACCGGTAAATGCTAATGGTAGGACTGGGCTTAGCCCCTGACATGTCTGAAATGAAGTCCAACGTCCAAGGTCATCTGGCCATACTGTTCAGTTTGTGACTGTCCCTTGTCGATGTACATGTATAGGTAAATTGTTCATAGAGAATGGGCAGTCCCACAGAGGTCATGTTTAAATTGTGCCTCATGCACAATTTCTCACAACAGACTATCAGTGTTGTTGTGTGTTTTATTTTCTGCTTGAATGGCCTGGGCAAGTCTTTGCCTCAGTAAACTGAAATTGTTATTCATTGTTCATCGCTGGAGAACTAAAATAAACAGAAACCCCTAAGCTGGCTTTCATAAAGGGACATGTACATTGTACACGTTTGGAACCATTGCCTTTCCTCAGTCAGGTGTTGCCTTTTTTACAAGCATGGAGGAAGGAGGGGAATGCTCCCATGAGGGTGCACCACTACAAATAAATTCCCATAGACTGCAATGATAAATCCCCACACTTTGCAATAATTTTAAAAATACAACTCTCACAGGTGTCCAGGCTGCACAGAATTACGATGATCGACATGTCCCCTTTCATTTTCCTTTCAGTTTTCCGGGGGTTGACCAATGAATTTTTGAGAAATTTTCACCAGAACAGACCACCCCTAAAATGAATAAAATGTCCCTATCCAGAAAAGTAGCCATTTTGAAAAACCATCCCTCTGCAAAACGGCCAAATAGTGCCATTTTCGGACCCGACTGCATCCAAATTACTCAGAATTTGAAGCCCAGAGTCCGGGCCAGGGGTTCAGTGCCATATTTCTCCAATTCCTCAATTTCATGGCTCTCAGGACTCTCTAATATAGAATATTTTGAGTGTATAACTTTTATTAATGAGCTTGGTGGACGTATTTAGGGCCTTTTTGCGAGGGTGCACCCACGAGGGTTAAGTAACTAAAAATGGCATGTACACTTAATTACTCCTACATCCTTGAGATACAAACAAGTTTTGCATTTTATCACAGCTGTCTGTTTGCACCTGTGATTCATCCATGAAATTTGAGTAGAATAGAATACACTGATAGCTTGTAGTATAGGTGGCCTTCTACTACTAGATGGTAAGCAAGGATTTAGAATTCCGGAAATTCTGATTTTCTTTAACTGGGTATTTCTTGACTTAATTAAAAGTGCAAAACAGGCACCACGCATCAATGCACAACCAGAAACCTGCATACGAATGACTGTTTTCATTGGTTGACCAATCCATGAAGTCCCAACCTGTAATATCGGTGTGCTCACACGAGCTTGTTCTGGTGGTTGCTTGGTTCATTGTGTGTCAGATGCAGGAGTACAACTATATTATATACATGTACACTCTATACATGGGGCTACACTTAGGTGTAATCGGCTACAATGATTGATGTATAGCAGGTGGGGCCATTATGATCCAGAGGAGGGCAGAGCTACGAGGACATTCTAAAAAGGGTACTGTTGCTGGGTAGAGTTATGGTGGTCAGGAGTGGACATGTAAGAGTGCAGCAGGATACTACACACCCCCATGATTCTTCGACCAAGTTCTGTGAGTTATGTCCGACAAAAGTCTGCCATGCATGCAAGTATGCACATAAGACGTGCACAGCTGCAGCGGTACAGACCCTATGGGTATGATGACACGTTAGAGAGAATTTCTTCCTCTAGGACAGCCTCGAGTGAACCTTTTGTGCATTTATAGTGACTGAATTAAAATAACAAAGAAAAAGTTTCAGACTCCACCTTAACGCATCAGGTCAACAGTCATTTGCACAAGTTTAGGACCACAGCACAAAAATGCATTAACTTGAAGAAAAACAAAACTTAAACCAATTAATTATAGCAACTTATGCTTATTTTCTATTTGTAACCTTAGTATCTTGCTTGAACAGCTATTTAACCACATTATGCTGCATTGAAGATAAAATGTCATACAAGACCTGCCTTTGCAAAAATTTTCATTCAAATGGGCTTTAGCATGACTCTGATGTTATCACCACCGTAAACAGCATGTTATGTAATCATTCAATTAGATATTGATGTCATGCAGGTCTGGTGACAGAAATGCTAACAAAATTTCAGGTGGTCTTAAACTTTTGTAAATGACTGTATTGACAGATGCAGGTACATGCATAAATTACAGATGTACTTGCCTACATATATGAACACAGTGGGCATCCACTTCCCATGGGCAACCGGATCAGTCTGCTGGGTCAGCCTGACCACACCTATTGAAAGTCTGTCATTTCGTTCGGTCTTGTAATTTAACTAATAATGCACTCACTCCTTAATTTCTTTGACTTTGCCAACTTGCTAGATCCTGTTCGTTGAGCCTGCAAGAAATCTTCCTGAGCTCTCTGCACAGCATGGCTTCCAACTGGATGAGGTTCGCAACATTAATGGGTAAGCATTACATCGAACAGAGATTGAATTGAACTGTGAAAGGTTTCAAGACTTGACTTTTACTTTTTCTACTGTGTTGCTCAATGCATGCAGGCTTGCATGCATTTAGCCTTGAACTTCAAATGATTGTGACAACAAAGCCATTTTTGTGATTGACTTCAAACTTCACATTTGAGATGAAACATGTGAAAGGAATGTCGTTACATGTCTGTCATTATAAGATTCAAAAAATTGAGCCCGGCACAGCCGATATTTTTGGGGGGAGACAGCATCCGCACCCACCAGGCTGTAAGAGGGGCAAAAATAACCCTGCTCTTTTAGGGTTAGAGCCATCTGGAATTACTACGCACGGCTGTGCACATGCTCAGAATTATACATGTGCATGCTCAGAGCTACATGTATGCGCACACATGCCCAGGGCTGGCCAAGTATGACCAATGTGTTTGCTTCCACCTGCATCTCAAAAGTGTCCCATTGCTGATGTACATGTATACACTGGACTATACAGGGATGT